CGCGTGAAGTTCACTAACCCGCTTTGCGGTCGAAAGAGCCAATAATAAAGCAGCCTTTAGCGAAAGGAGCTTTAATTCAACACTCTCTATAGGCTCAAAAGGGGGCTGAGATAGTGCGTTAAGGACCACAGACAGATCCCACGGCAGAATCAATGGCTTTGAAACCTTGTTCAAACGCTGTGCACCTCTCATAAACCTGCATACAAGCGGGTGTTGACCTATAGTGTTTCCGTCAATCCCCACATGACACGCAGAAATTGCAGCAAGATAAACCTTAACAGTCGAAAAGGCTCTGCCCTTATCCAAAAGTTCCTGCAGAAAACATAACACATCCGTGACAGAACAGAGAAAAGGAACGATGTGTCTGTGTTCGCACCATCGTGCAAACACAGTCCATTTCCGGTCATATGCAGAGCGCGTTGAAGCTGCTCGTGCGTTCTGAATTGTTTCAATCACCCTCGGAGGTAAACCCTTCACACTCAAGTTTAACCTCTCACGGGCCAGGCCCAAAGAGCCACTTTGTCTGGGGCTGGGTGAAAAATCTCCCCGCGCGCTTGTGAGAGAAGGTCCCTGCGAAACGGCAGAGGCCAAGGCTGGTCGCACAGGAGTTGAATTATCTCCGTCAGCCACAACTTCCCTGGCCAGTTTGGGGCAATCATTATGACTGAGTGACCGTACTCTCTTACCCTTTTTAGAGTTGGAAATATCAGACTCAGAGGAGGAAACGCGTACAGTAGTGGGTTTGGCCACGGGTGCGCTAGAGCATCCACACCCATAGACGGTGCGTCTCTCGCCAGAGAGAAGAATATAGGACACTGAGTGTTTTCGTGCGAGGCGAAGAGATCCACGGCAGTTTGGCCGAACCTCTCCCACAACTGGCTCACTACCTGAGGGTGGAGAGTCCATTCTCCATACAGAGGATTTCCCCTGGACAGGAGATCCGCCCCCACATTCATTATTCCCGGGACATGGGTCGCCCGTAGTGAATGAAAATTCTTCACGCCCCATACGATTAGTTTCCGTGCCAGGCTGTGAAGCAGATGGGAACGTGTGCCTTCCTGGCGATTTATGTAAGCCACCGCCGTTGTGTTGTCTGATCTGATCAGAATGTGGTGGTTCCTTAGGAACCGCACAAAATGTTTCAGTGCCAGAAACACTGTTAACAGTTCCAGGAAGTTTATGTGTGCGTCTTGTAGCGAGACGGGCCATTTCCCCTTTGCTATCCTGCCCTCGCACACTGCACCCCAACCTGTGAGCGACGCATCCGTTGTAACCACCTTTCTCAGAGAGATGAATGAATGAATGAATGAGGTATTTATATAGCGCTTTCATATGTACTACTGTACACCCAAAGCGCTTTACAATCATATCAGGGGTTCTCTCCTCAACCAGCACCAGTGTGCAGCATCCACTTGGATGATGCGACGGCAGCCACAATACAACGGCACCAGTGCTCACCACACACCAGCTATAGTTAGAGAGGAGAGAGAGTGATAGAGAAAATTCACTGGATGGGGATTATTAGGAGGCCATGAATGGCAGGAGCCAATGGGTGGAATGTGGCCAGGACACCGGGGTTACACCCCTACTCTTTACAAGAAGTGCCATGGGATTTTTAATGACCACAGAGAGTCAGGGCCTCGGTTTAACGTCTCATCCGAAGGACGGTGCTCTTTGACAGTATAGTGTCCCCGTCACTATACTGGGGCGTTAGGACCCACACAGACCACAGGGTGAGCGCCCCCTGCTGGCCTCACTAACACCTCTTCCAGCAGCAACCTGGTTTTCTCAGGAGGTCTCCCATCCAGGTACTAACCAGGCTCAGCCCTGCTTAGCTTCAGTGGGCAACCAGTCTTGGGCTACAGGGTGATATGGCTGCTGGCATAAGAGATTGCTCCCAGCGGAGTCCCTGACTCGAGAAAAAAACGATCTCCCCACTGCCGGAGAGCGCGCATGCAGAGTGACGTCACCGTCACTTTGCGGTTGAGGTGGCGTTTTGGACACAAGCCCTGCGCTGCCGTCCAGTGCTGAAACTCCCTCATTCGCAACAGTCCCAGTGGAATGACCAGACTGATCTCATGAAATGGCGTATGTATGACACGCCAATTCGTATTTCCATTTTTGGCGTGCTATTAACACGCATAATCGCTTTTCAGCGTGTTTATCAACGCCTTTGACTTAACGTTATATTACTGTATTATGTATATATAAATATATGACCTACCCCAACCCCGTCCCTAAACCTACCCGTCACTGGGGTTAATACCATTTATGAGTCTTCTCCTACCATCCTAGGAAAAGAAATATCGCTCCACAGATGTAGATATAGATTTTGCTTCGTTTCGCTCGGACATTTAACGGCGTACACATACACGCGGAATCACTCGGACATTTAATGGCGTAGACATACACGCAAAAGATTTCGGCGTGGACATACACGCGGATAGCTCAAAATGCGTATAGATAGCACGCCACTTGAATTGAAAGTGGCGTGTATGTTTACGCAAAGTCATGATGTCATGTTGGAATGACAGAAACTGTCGATGCCATCAGCCCCAGAAGACGTAAACACAGTCTGAATGAAACTCTGTTTCCTTTCTGAAAAAGGGAAAGACAGCCGCGAATTGACCTGATGCGCTCCTCGGACAGAAAAGCTTGATACAGGTCCGAGTTCAGTCTGAGACCCAGGCAAATTATCTCTTGTGTGGGCACTAAACAGCTTTTTGTCTCGTTTATCTTGAAGCCTAAGCTCTCCAAATGAGACACGAGCATTTCTGTCTCTCTCTCTGCCTGTTGCCATGACGGCGCGCACAGCAGCAGATTGTCCAAATATGCTGACACTCTCAGACCCATTTCTCTCAGCGGTGTGAGCGCTGCTTCCACACATTTGCTGAAAACTCTCGGAGCTAAAGCCAAACCGAACGGGACTGTCAAAAACTCGTAGGCTGTGCCCCGATAGGCAAACCTGAGAAATTTTCTGTGTGCCGGGTAGATGCTTATGTGAAAATATGCATCCTTCAGATCGACTGACGCAAGCCAGTCCTTGGGACGAATTATTTGAGACAACATCTTTAAGGTCAACATTTTGAAATTGTATTTTCTGAGGTGTTTGTTGAGGTTCCGTAAATCCAGAATGGGACGGAGACCCCCCCCCCCCCCCCCTCTCTTGAGAATGACAAAGTACCGGGAGTAAAAACCCTGACGGCTGTCCTCTGGCGGCACAACTCGAATAGCTCTTTTGCTCAATAAAGAGTTTATTTCTTCCTCTCCAATCTGAGCTGACTCCCCTTCTGCTGCTGACATTAACACACTGTTGAAAAGTGGAGGTTTTACAGCAAATTGCAGACGATAACCCCGGCTTATTGTGGATAAAACCCAGGGGTGTACTGCGCATGCGCGCCAGCTCTCTGCATGAGCAGCGAGCGGACCGCAGCAGCTCTCGTCCACTAGTGACGCGGCGGCGCCACCTAGCGGTGGAGCTGGGGACTGCAGCTCTGATCTGGACAATTTTGTTTTTGTGTGTGTTTTTCTTTTCAAACATTGCTGTGCCCTCGGCCCACTGCCTGGATGCACACGGAACTTGTTTATTATTTTCATAGAACACATTTCTTTTAGAAAACAGCCCTCTTTTGTAACCCCGTGGGTGGAGGGAGGGTAATTTCTCTGTGAGGCACTGGGGGAACTGGTGCAAACTTCACAACTGAACTGGTCATTGGATAACTTTTTCCTGTGAACAATTCCCGTGTCCGACGCCTTCTCTTGGTGGGAGGGGGAGAAAATGACCGCTCTCTTTGAGGGAGGATAACAACAGATACTCCGTGAATGCTGTTGCTCATCCCTTTGTCCTGAATACGAAATATCAGGTTGCTCGCCGTTTCTCCTCCCTGAGGGTTTACTGGTCGGTATCTGGCTGCAGCCGCTGCAAAGGAAGGTTTTCCCCTCGGCTGAGCTGGCTTAGACTATGGCTCAGCCTGCTGAGGCTGAGAAGGTCTAGTGCCTCTGAAGTCTGACCGACCACCCCTCTGGGGGGCTTCAAACCTGGACCGTGGTGGTTGAGAAACCCTAGCGGCGGATCTGCGAGGGAGGCAAGTTTGGAAAGCCTCACCCTCTTGTTTCTTCAGATCACACCTCCTCCAAACGGGAGGAAATTTTCCGTTTTATGCCTTTTTATCTTTATTCGTTCATGCCGAGTCCGCATCGTCAAATTCATCTTTGCAGCGAAACCCGAAACCACCAGTTTATTAATAAACAATTAAATGTCTCCTCGGGGTTCACAAGGGCTGCCTGAGCGTGTCTCACCCCCAGGCATGCGATGCACAACGGATGAGGATCCTTGCCCGATATCATTGAACCGCACACACACGGACGTGAAGTTTCTGCTTTCGGTCTGCCGCTTGCAGAACTAGTAGTCGCCATAGCAAATAATAGTAGTCTATCCAAGCTCACCACAACGTGCAACTCAGAAAAATGGGATATATAAGAGAATTCGCCGTAACACGTTAATTCTCTTAGTATACCAGAATCAAATAAAATATCACCGTTACAGTGAAAAAAGACCCGCTAACAAAACAGCTGCGTTCAGCGACGTACCTTGACGGCTCGTCTCAGAACAGTTAAACAACAATTTTGAATACAGGTCCTGCTGAAGTATAGCTTCCAATTTAATCTTCACGGGGAAGAGATCGAGAATGAAGTAGGGACCACCCGGCAGTGGTTTATATTAGGGAGGTGGGACTCCCGCATTACTGTCGTGATTGGTCTGTCAACTGACAGACGTGGTGTGATTGGTGCTTCCAGGATCTGTCACGCCCAGAGGCGTTTCCCATAGTGAGATACCGAGCGAATGTTTGAAAGAGAACTGTTTCAAGTCAATTTAACACGAAGCAATCACATTTGTACCAGAAACCTGATTCAATGGTGTTAAATTAAAATTAATTGTTTAAATAAAGCGTGACGTACAGCAACATGTTTCCAGACAATCGGACACTTTGAGCTCTTACCCTGAGGTCCTGTGATGCGTCTGTTGTTGAACGGATGCGGTGGTTCTTATGTAATGCATTTCTGCATTTTCCACAAACTAGTTCTTGATCTTCAGCGCAGAAGAAAGTAAGAAGTTCTCCATGAAGTCTACAGAACCCCGTCGTCTCTACGGGAAGGTCCTGAGTTGTTTCTTCTCTTATCAAATCACACATGTTTCTCAGCACAATGTTTATGGGTGGATCGGGAATGGGTTTGGAGGACACAATTCTGCAGATGGGACACTCTTGAGTTCCTCGCCGATTCCAGAAGGTTTTCACACAGCCGTTACAGATGCTGTGAGAGCAGGCTAAGAGAACTGGATCTCTGAAGATGTCACAGCAGATAGGGCAGTATAAATCCTCCTCTGTAATGGACAGTCTACAGGCCATTTTGCCACCTAGAGTATATTAAATGTGTCCTAGTTGTCTTTCTCTCACTCTCTGTGTGTCTGGTCCAGCTGTCAGGAGCACAAGAGTGTCTCTCAGCTGTGTTTATATCCCAGGCACATGCAAAGTAGGGCGGAGCTTATAAGAGCAAAGACAGCATTTTAACAGAACCTTCTATTATTTAAAGTGTTTATTTTTTACAGTACATTTTCTACAGCAACACCCTAGAGTGGAATAATTAATTTGAATTATTAATTAGACATTTGAAACTTTATTCATCAAGTAAAAAATTACAATTTCACTTGGTGCTGGTGTAAACATAATAAAAAGACTAAAAGACATGATAAAGTGACAAAATAATACAAAAATTGTTTAAATTTGATTTACACACATTAATATTTATATATGTGGTTACATAATAATGAGTGCAGCAAATGGTTTGAATGGTTGAATTTCTGCAAGTTAGTAAAGCAGTACCATGGATCATAAGTTGGATACAAAACTATCAAAAACAATGTTGGAAGGTGTATATGGTCAATTTCTGTCTTTGCTACATATCTGTATTTTAATATAACGTGTATACTATTATTTATTTATATATATTTTGAGTTAGATTTTATTTGTATATTTTCAGTTTTCATTTTATCTTAAGTTTTAGTAATTTAGTTTTGTTCATTTGTCATTTTATTTATATATATATATCCATTCTGTTCTTTAGCCTTTGAATTTTAATCTAGTCATGCACTGACTGACCTCTGTGGGAAAGTAGAAAAGAATTTTCTATCAGACTGTTCATCAAGCAGATCTATAGAACTTTTTTTTTCTGTTCTGTGTATTCCCATGTCAAGAATGTGACCAAGACAACATTCTGTAACGTGAATGTTACGTGCTGCTTACTCAAACTCAAAAAAGTATGATTACTGTGTTTGATATTACTGACAGGTAATTTGTCAAAGACAAAGAAGATACTCCAGTAATTGTTTATTGGTTTTGTTTCCTAGTAAGTGTAAAATATAGGTCAAAGTTTACACCTTGCAGGAATTGATACAAACATATTTTTTATAATTAAAACTTGTTTAAAATGACCATCACATCTACATAATAACATTAGATGAATATGCTATTGCTTCATCTTCTAATGTATTATTTTATATCTCAATTTGTATTATTATTATTATTAATAGTAGTTGTAGTAATATCAGTATTTCTTTTTTGCCACTTTTTGGTTGTAGCTATTGTGTTTAGAGTAACCATTAGAATAACGTAGGCTACTTTAAAATTTACAAATAAAAACGAATCAGGCAACTTCAAAGACAGCCTGGTGCTTACCAGGAGCAAAGAAGGCCCTTCATGGGTCCTGGCGTTGCTTAGAAACGCGTTGTTGTCGTGCATGTTCACAGTGAATTTTCTGAAACCAAACCGAGATTTTTCATCACAAATAAGCGATACTTTCTCGTCTATAATCCAGCCATGATTGTGAACAAATTTACGACGAGCCCTAAATATATCCGCCGAAGATTGTAAAACAATATTCTGCCGTAAATATGTATTTAGGGTAGTTAGTTATATAGCTTGGGTAACAAGCTAGCTAATCTGCTAATTAACGTTAGTCAGATAGCCAAAGCAATAACACTGTCGGGTTGTGTTTTGGGAATGTACCATTTCATTTGCGGTTTGTTTTACGAATTATTGCTTGAAAAGATTAACTAAACGATATCCATTGAGTTAGAAAGCGTGTGATGGAGTAAAGCAGTGCTGTGTGGTCAGCTGTCATCTAATCCCGCTGTATTAAGAGGCTCAGAGTTTAAACTCCTGCTGCTGCTTCTCTAGTCTAGCAATGGACGCAGTGTGACGATGTCATCAGGAAATAAATAAATAAATTGTAATTTAATTGTTCTACATTTATTTCCTCATTATTCATCTGTACATAACATTGAGCTCATTATTTACAAAAATCAAAACATCTCCATCATTTATGAAACTACAGTCATCGTACCTTTATGTAACTACAGTCATTGTAACCTGTGTGTCGAGTCAAGATGGCGCTGTCTTTAGTCCAGCCCCTAGTTATCTGGATGACGTGCATCGCTTATAAAAACATGGCGCCGGCTATCGAGATGCAGTGAGTACCTCGCGGAGCTCCTCAGAAGACTCCCGCGGCTGTTATTTGTTTTATCCGCGGTAAGAGTGTGTATCGTCGGCGTGCGTGCTAAGCAGATCGCGTTATGGATTACTAACAGGAAATTATCCTCATCGTTGTGTGACCTGCTGATTGTCGTTGAGATACTGCAGAGGAAACCGAACGAGTGAGTAGCCTAATTCCAAAACATGAACTGGATTGACGGATGAGGAGCCTAGAGCCTATATCTTCACGTCTGAGAAGCCAGGGAAAATGTGGACCAGACTCTTAAGGGGAAAAGGAGTCGTGAGTACAATTTAGCCAGCGCTGACATGACATGACCTGACTTAACTTTGACTGTTTTTGAGTGGGGAATTTTATTCTTTTTTTCCTCCTACTGACTATGTGAACTATTTTTGCTGTGGATTACTGTGGGGATTACTGATGGACAATTTATGAACTGTTTTTTGTTTTTTCACTTTCACTGCTGTGCTGAATATACATCTTTGAACGCAGTTCTATGTGTCCTGTCGTATTGAATGGTTGGTGGTCTATTTAAGAGTGATTATTATGGGTATTATTGTATTGAGTATGCGTGTATAATCTTTATCTCATTAAGTGTCGGGTTTTGTGACAGAACAAGACAGATGCACAAGATCTTTGTACGTTTCCCTAAAGTGAACTTTAATTAATGACAGAAATCCTGTCTGGCACCCCAGCATATAAAAACCCCAAACAAAGAGTGTGGGAAAACGTTACAGCAGGAGGCATTTCTGATCTGGACCTGGAGAAATATGACGCTGATGAGCAAGTCAAGATCATCTGCCTCGGAGACAGCGCTGTGGGCAAATCCAAGTATGCTCAATGTGGTTCTGACACTAATGGAGTAGCTGTGTTATTGCTTTCATGGTGACAATGAAATTTGAAAAATTTGCATCTTTCATATTAATGGTTTTCATATCTTTTCAGGCTTATGGAGAGATTCCTTATGGATGGATAGTATCCTTTGACATCATTATGTGTGTGTATACAGTATATTATCTACTGTTTGAATGTGTGCATGTGAGTGTGTATCATCCCCAAGATCTGCGTGATCTCTCTCTCTCTGTGTATGTATGTGAGTGTATCGTTCATTCTCAAAGTTGACAGGTTCTTAATGAAATGTATCAGTCGGCCTCAGCAGCTGTCCACCTACGCGTTGACTCTCTACAAATACAGCACAACCATCAATGGACAAACTATACTGGTACATTTAATGGAACCATGTACCCATCCTCTGATGGCTACTTCCACCATGTCACAAAGCTCTAATCATTTCAAATTGGTTTCTTGAACATGACAATGAGTTCACTGTACTAAAATGGCCTCCACAGTCACCAGATCTCAACCCAATAGAGCATCTTTGGGATGTGGTGGAACGGGAGATTCGCATCATGGATGTGCAGCCGACAAATCTGCGGCAACTGTGTGATGCCATCATGTCAATATGGACCAAACTCCCTGAGGAATGCTTCCAGCACCTTGTTGAATCTATGCCACGAAGAATTGAGGCAGTTCTGAAGGCAAAAGGGGGTCCAACCCGTTACTAGCATGGGGTACCTAATAAAGTGGCCGGTGAGTGTACAGATGTGAATGTGCATGCTAAAAAAGTTAATTTGGCAGATTGATATTAACCCACGTCCTTTCAAAATTCCAACGATGGCTCTGTAGTGGCTCTCACCAGGCATTGTCCTGAAAAATAGATAAGATGTATCATGCTTGTAAAAATCGCCAGAGCAGAGCCATTAGGTTGCCCCTTAACAATAATTGCAGTTTGGAGCTTGAATGAAAATTAAACTGTATGTGTTGCGACGTTCGTCTGTTTTAGGACAACTTAGTTCGAATAAAAGAGCAGACACTGATTAGCTACTTGCCCTACGTTTATTTAAAATTAACAGCAAGACGACTAGAAGTGAATGTGCTTTCCATTAAATGAATGGAAAGATGTGATTTATTTAAAACAAAGCACGTTCATTGCACAGTAGACCAAACCTTAACAAAAAAAAACTTTGCAATGAAGTCGTTCATCCTCGGATGCAGCGCGGTGCGCACTGTTACAAAAAAACCCGTGCACACAGCCAAGCGAAATGGGGTCTTGCGCACCCAACGCGTCATTTTTGCAAGGTGCGCGCGGACCATAGACAGTAAAAGCGTTCACTTTTCGAAAATCAGTGCAGAATCTAAAGGTGCCATCCGGTTTAGGAACGAGAAGACACGGAGAACTCCAGGGACTACAACTAGGTCTGGCTAAATCATTCTCAAGCAGATAATTCACTTCTTGACGCATAATAGACTTCTTAACTGCATTTACACGGTAAGCATGCTGCTTAATAGGACGAGCATCATTCACAATAATATCATGCTGCAAAACATTTGTTTGTTTAGGAACATCGCTAAACAGACAGTTAAAATCAGATATTACATTAATAATGTCAGCTTCTTGGTTCACAGTCAAATGACCAAGACAAGAGTGAAGATCTTTTAAATTCTCTGAGTTGGCTAACCTTGCGCACTGCTGAGGAGCATTGCGGAGCACCACACCATCCTCGTCAGCCCCCGAAATATCAGCAGGTTTTAACAGATCCACGGCTAGTGCGACAGACGAGACAGCGGGCCCTGCAGTCTCCTCTGAAGTTTTCACCTCAGGCATCTCCCTGTCATGGTAAGCTTTTATCATGTTTATGTGACAAACTCGGGTTTGACGTTTTCTGTCAGGTGTGTAAAGCACATAATCAGTTTCACTCATTTTCTGTTTCACCACATAAGGACCAAAGAAACGGGCAGACAAAGATGATCCTGGAACAGGTAAAAGCACTAACACTTTATCACCGGATGAAAACAAATGCGCAACTGCTCTCTGATCATACTTGCGCTTCATGCCTTTCTGACCATTTCCTAGAGATTCTTCAGCTAGTGACCAAGCAGTATGCAAGCGATCTCGAAACTTACTTACGTAATCCAGTACATTAGTTTTAGGACTCGAAACAGTGGTTAAAATGTGCTCTTTAAGAACTTTCAAAGGTCCTCTCATCTGATGTCCGAATACGAGTTCAGCTGGACTAAAACCAAGAGATTCTTGTACAGTCTCTCTTACCGCGAATAATACTAAGGGAACCCCCTCATCCCAGTCTCTAGCAGTGTCCATGCAGTACTTCTTAAGCATCGACTTAAGTGTCTGGTGAAAGCGTTCAAGTGCGCCCTGGCTTTGTGGATGGTACGCACTTGAAACTCTGTGAGAAATTTCTAAAGACTCCAGCACTTGTTTAAAAAGTCTTGATAAAAAATTTGTGCCCTGATCGCTTTGTACTATTTTTGGAAGACCGAAAGTGGAAAAGAACTTTACTAACGCTTTAATGATAACGGGCGCGGTGATTTTTCTCAGTGGAATTGCTTCCGGAAACCTAGTAGACATGCACATTATGGTTAACAAAAACTGGTTACCAGATTTTGTTTTAGGCAATGGTCCAACACAGTCTATTATCACATGGTCGAACGGCTCCCCAATAGCTGGTATAGGAAACAGTGGAGCAGGACGAATCACCTGGTTCGGCTTCCCAACAGTTTGACATGTGTGACAAGTACGGCAGTACTAAGCTACATCCTTCTTTAAGCCTGGCCAAAAGAAGTGCCGTAAAATCCTATCATACGTCTTCGTAATTCCTAAGTGACCGGCAAGCTGATGATCATGCGCTAAACATGACACATGTTGACGATAAGGAGAAGGAACGACCACCTGATACACAACATTCCAATCTGAATCGTGTGTGTTAGAACACCACTTTCTCATCAATAACTCATTCTCACAAAAATAAGCAACTTTCTGATCTTTAGCTAAATCAATAGAGACAGCAGAATTAAAAGCAGCAAGGAGAGACTTATCTTCTTTCTGTGCAGAAATAATTTTCTCTCGTGACACGGACATTTTTAATTCTGGTGCGTCAGACACATCTTCTCTCATGTTCTCTGATTGTGATTTATCTAGTTTGGATGACGTAACAGTACACAATGATTCGTCACCAGCAAGAAGAGAGATAAAAACAGAGTCAGACAAATCCACCATATCACCCACTTTACGCGACTGAGCGCGAGTGACAGCGCATGCGGAAAAAACTTCAGGGTAAGTATGTGACACATCATCTGATTGACTACACACATCTGTTTTTTTAACAACTTCTAACACAGGCAAGATTTTTCCTCCGGCTAGATCATTTCCAAGGATAAAATCAACGCCCTGAACAGGAAGAGAAGGACGTACCACCACTCTTACAAATCCTGTACATAACTCACTCTGCAAATGTATACGATGTAATGGCACAGTTATACAACTCATGTCAATACCCTGAACTATCACACTTGAGCCACAGAAAGTGTCCTCAGTCAATGGTAATCTATCTGCCACAATAAAAGATTGCATTGCACCGGTGTCTCTGAGCATTCTTATTTCTTTCTGATCATCGCAATTTCCTTTTAAAGAAATTAACCCTTTCAAAATAAAAGGTTGGTAACTGTCATCGATTTTCTCCATATTTGGTACTATATGAACAGACGGCTTAACAGCTTTCACAAACCCTACGCTTTTAGGCTGTTGTTTGCGTTTTAACGTCAAACAATCTGCGATCACATGTCCTTGTTTATGACAATAAAAACATTCTCGATCCTTTCTAGCACGAGGTGGACTGTTTTTAGAACGAAACGTTTGGTTTTGCACAGGAACAGGCTGTGACCTCTCTGAACATGCAAGTGAAAAAACATTTTTGTGAGTTAAAACAAACTCATCCGCTAACACGGCTGCGTGAGACAACGAAGTTACTTTCTGTTCATTTAGATAGACCACAACACGATCAGGCAAACACCCTTTGAACTCTTCGAGCAGTACAAGTTCTCTTAACTCATTAAAGTCACTCACTTTGCTAGCTGTGCACCACTTGTCGAACAAAATTCCTTTGTCTCTAGCCAATTCCACAAATGTCTGAGCCGAATTTTTTTTATGTCCTCGAAACTTCTGCCGATATGCCTCTGGAACTAATTCATAAGCACGAAGTATAGCAGACTTCATAGACTCATACTTTAAACTTTCTTCTAAAGATAAAGTAGAACAAACCTCTTGAACCTTTTTCAATCAATTTACACTGTAATAATAAAGACCAGACGTCTTTGGGCCATCTAAGAGAAGTAGCTATTCGTTCAAAAGCATTAAAATAAGAATCTACTTCTGATTCTCTGAACTGAGGAACTAAGACAATGTGCTTACTTATGTCAAATCTCACCTGGGATGAATCAAACCGCGGAGGAACATCAGAGACCGGACCTGGATTCGACTGCGCAGCCGAACTGGCAGTGATCTGCATCGCGTCCAGATCAAGCTGTCGCAGCTTCACCTGAGTCTCAGCCTCAATTTCAAGCCTGCGTACTTCCAAACGCAGATTTATCTCAGCTTGACGTGCCTCGGCTTTCTCCTGCGCCTCACATTGTAAACGGGCTAAGCGGACTTTCAGTCGCGCGCCGTCTCGAATCAACAGAACTGGGAGAGAATGGATCAAACGGTGGCAAGCCGGCCTTAGCCTCGGCCCTCACCTCTGCCTCAGCATCAGCTCTACCGCTCCGCTTATCCTCATCATCCACAAAACTGCGATGTGCCACTGCAACGTCACTCACACCAACACCTCCGCTAGCCTCCTCATCACCCACGGCATTTGACATAGGAAGAACATTGATCTCTTTTAAACGTTGTATCAACTTACTCTTTATCTCACTCTTAAGAGCTTGTCTACTCACAACAACCTGATAGTGATCCGCTATCAGCACTAAGTCTTGCTTCTTACATGAACTAATCTGTTCAAAAGACGGGTTGGCAATGAACTTTTGCAAGCTAAACATTTCCATGATGCACAACCAGCAAACGAGTACAAAAATACTACTCTGCATGAATATGCCGCCAAACTAACGTAACGTCACTTACCACTAGCATACACAAACACAACTGATCACAACTAAATTAACTTGAGATTAAAGATCTCGGACAAGCCCCCATTAAATGTTACGCACCCTTAGACAAAAAGTCTTAAAAGGGGCAACATTGAGGTTGTGATCAGACGGTGGTGTAATTAAAATGGCAAGAGACGACAAAACAAAATATAGTGAAGAAAAGTACAGTTTATTATAATAGTGAAAAAGGTGAACGATAATAATATTAACAATAATAGTAATGGACACAA